TTAGGGCCGATTCGCCGCAGAGCGGAATCCGCGAAAGAAGTTGTACAAATCAGGTTTGTTCTGGGTTTCAAGACTGAGGATACATTATGCGACCTGGACGTTCGTCGGTAATTGGCCTGTTGTGTGTAATGCCTTGAGACTTCGAAATTGTGTTGTGTCAGTATGACGGCCCAAACACCAGAAGCAGGGAGGGCGGAGGTGCAGATCTCACAGCAGATCCGGCATTTTGCGCAATGCAGCCTCGCCTTTACGAAAGCTGAAGGGCTCAAAGTCCTTGCCATCGTCGAGTCTGCGAAGGTGTTGCTCCGAGAAGTCTTTGCTTCGCTACTGGGCGGGCCGCAGGATTACCAGCCGGTCCTCCTTCAGTTTTCGACGGACACAACTCCTGTGGCCAACCGCAAGCACGTAAGCCTTAGAGCTGGCGGCATTTCAGTAAGGCGCTCGGGGATTTCAACAGATGAATTTTTGGTGCAGCAGCTTTTCGGGACGACTTTGACAGACTCTGGCCAGTTGAGACATGGACTCGTTTTTTCAGATCCTGTTCCTTTGCGCCACGGCAAAAAGATGTCTTCGCTAACTGCCGTGGCCATGCAATGCCCTGGCATCAGCATCAGCGTACCGCAGCGTGATCGAGTGCAGATCCGGCACCAAGTGCATGACCGCGCCGTGGGTCACAGACTCGTTGCGGCAATGAGCGGATTCTGGTCCACACGCAGCCGGAAGCCCGAGCTGGGTGCAGCGCACAATGAGGTCAGCGGAAGCAGCCTTTACGACTGGCACAGCTATGTGGGGTGTGCCAGCCATGACGGCCATAATGCCCTGAAGTGGTCGCATCAGACCCTGTTTGCGGATACCGAGCTTTTAGAAGGAGTTTACGTCGCAGTGAGTGCCATCCGTAATTCTTATTACACTTGCACAGATGCCCTGGGCAGTTGGCTGGTGCAGTCTGTGCAACCTAGGCATGCGGGCATTTTGCCTCCTCAGGACGACTTGTTTGCGTTGTGGTGCTGTCTTGGCGTGGAGCCTGAACTGGCGCACAAGCTGGCAGAGATGCGTTTGCTCTGGCGTGATGGCCGCCTGCTGATCCTGCAGGAAGTCTTCCATGCGTCGGAGTTTTTAGAAACCGTGTCGGCGTGCTTGCTGGCCCTATGGCGCTTCCCCTCCTTCACGACATCCAGATGGTGCACTGTGGGTGCTTCTTGCCGAGCTTTAGCTGCCGGCCTCCTGAGCGGCTACGATGGCTTGTTGGAGTTCATGCGACAGAAGGGGCTTTTGGGAGATTATTTGTGGAACGGCTTCAAACGTTTGAACGCCAGAGCCGTAGAATTTGTTTTCGTGGTTGGGCCAACAGCATACTTGCCGGAAGGGTTTCTCGCACACTTGCTGCAAGATGCCCGCGTCGCTGTGCAGTACCAGAAACTCAAGGAGGACATCCAATCGGAGTACAGCTTCTTGGAGCATCTGCCTGAACGAGTGTGGGCACTCCTCGCGGAGCGTGTTGAACTGTCAGCCGACATGCTTAGAAACAAAGTCATTGCTGGTGCCACCATCTCATGGGCTTTCATCGAGTGGAAGGTCCTACAGGTAGCCTCTGCTTTGCCTTGGAGCCTGTGCCGTGGTGACGTCCGTGCTAACATAGAACAGCTGTCAGATCGCCCTGTTGCACCAGCAGAGCCAACAGCCCGCAAGATCTATCAGTTGGCCAGAGGAGGTGTGAACATGGTGCGGCTACAGAGAGCTGTCGCCCTGCTTGGCCAGGCCTCGTGGACGAGTTTCTTTACTGAGCGCCAACATGCATCCACCAGCTTAGTCAAGCGGCACCATCCAGATATAGGGTGTGATCTCTTGGCTGGTCGTGCATTTCTGCACACCTTCCGGCAGATGCTGCCGCAGCGGTCTCCGGAAGAAGTTGAGCGAGAACGATTGCAGGCCAAGCTTTTCAAGGCTCTGAAGGGCAACCCCAACAAGATCCGAGGACGGCAGATGTTCTTGGCATACACGATGGCAAAGGCAACACGCCGAGAAGAAGAGAGACCTGAACGGCCTAGATACAAGCGCCCTCGCATCATGCAGCTTCATGGTGAGCAGTGGAATCGGTTGACACCGGCGGCGAGGCAACGCTATGAGACGGCAGCTTCCGTGCAGAGGGATGTCGCTCAAGAGATGCAGCGCAGGGAAGTCCAAGTGCTCCAAGAGCAGCTGCAGGAAGTGAACCAACGCAAGGCGACGAAAGAT